CCCCTCTCCCCCAAGTCCTGTGTGCCCCTGTCCCAGCTGGGCAGCTTGTCTCAGCCCCAGCCCCAATCCCTCCCTCCCCCATGCTCCTTCCATCTCCCCCTTCCCCAACCCCAACAGACTTAGCAGCTGGAGGCAGCTGTCAGCTGCCTGTTTAGTCTGTGGCTGAATCTCTGAATTGGCCAAATCTTTTCTGAAGCTCTTCTGAATTGATTCGGAGACTGTGAACCGATTTGGAGCTTTTAACTGGTCTCCCAATTTGATTTGGAGATTTGGTCCTCAAATCATGCCGAAATCTCCCCCTTCCCCAACCCCAACAGACTTAGCAGCTGGAGGCAGCTGTCAGCTGCCTGTTTAGTCTGTGGCTGAATCTCTGAATTGGCCAAATCTTTTCTGAAGCTCTTCTGAATTGATTCGGAGACTGTGAACCGATTTGGAGCTTTTAACTGGTCTCCCAATTTGATTTGGAGATTTGGTCCTCAAATCATGCCGAATCTCCTCCTAATCGAATTGGCTACCAAAGCTTTGCACAACCCTATTATGCTATTCCATTTACATTCACGTAGTATTTATCACTGAGTATGACTAATGAAAGATACAGCACAATATATTTTTTATAAAACTGAATGAAAGACAACCAAAAACTAATTCAAGTAGAATAAAAAGGAATGCAATAACTTTAAAATGAGGTGTTTCTGGTCCAAATGAGTATAAAAAAAAAGAGCTCCATTCAGCAAATCATCTTAAAACTTGGTCTTTTGCACCTTTTTTTTTAATCCAACCCATAAATAACTTATTGCTTGTCAGTTGGTCTTCATACTATTCCACCAGAATTCTGCTGTTTGAAAATGGCATCTAAAAGTTATGATTTACAAGTTATAGGCTTGATGTAGTTCGTATTTGGTGCAATTCTACAGTCTCCATAGAAAAATAGTTCTACTCTTGTTTAATAAAATATTGATTATTAATAATAATAAGTATATAGTAATATAAAATGAGAATACTTAACACAGTTAAGTTTTTAAACAATACTATAATCAAAGGAACTTTATGGCTGTAGGTTGGCTTCACTTTCCAAGGTTTGCAGTTTGGAATAATATTAGTAAAACCTCAATGCAGTGTTACATGGGAGACCCAAGAAAGGAAAAATATGAACATATTTAATATCTCCCCATCTGGATTATCTGAGGCACTCAGTACTGATGTCTAATATTCTTAGACTAACTTCACAATGCCTCTAGACTCCCCCAGCATTAGCACACAAGGATCTATACAAAGTAGGGAGAAGAAAGAGAATTTGCTTACCTCAATTTAGGCAAGCTGGTGGAAAAAATCCACCAACCTTTGGTGGTTTACTGGACCCTTAGAAAGAATTAGTGTTATAATGCTGAGAAAGGCCTCCTTGTTTTCTTTCTTGTCTATTTTATCACGGTGACACCTCTTCTTCCTGTAATAAAACATCTATTATAATAAATCAACTTTACAGGCTTCAAATCACTTAAAGTTATCTAATACCTGTGTTTTAGAATGTGTGAGACAAGTGTCTGACAAACCACTCCACAGCACAAAGGCCATGGCTTTATACTGTGAGTTTGTTTAATGAGATCCCTGTGCATTTAAGTGGATATAAAAAGCCCACAGTACAAACACCTTCAAACTTCATTGAAAACAAAAGAGACTAAGAGATGCTGTTACTCAGAAATACCAAATTAGAATACATGAAAAGAGTGTAAAAAAAAAAAACTTGGAAAACTAAGTTCTTTGGAGGGGGAAACCAGTAGGGAGGCTGGTGGTGGTTTATTTTTTGGGAGGAAGAGGGGATTCTTTGGGTTTTTCAAAAATACACATTGTGTGGAACAAAGTATGATGGGGCTGAACATAAAAAGTTGCTTAAGGATTTGGACAAAAAGCATAGGGCAAAACTTAAGAGAACTGAAGAGCAGAGGAGAAGATGAAACAAAACAAGTCTGATACCTGCAAAAGGGAGATAAGTAATACAGGTTGCTACATTTGTGAAGTAAAACATTATTCATGGATGTCAACAATTTGTGAGCATATTACATAAAACCTACACAGGTACTCAGGTTGACTAAAAAACAAAAGCAGTCAGGCTAATTTCCTCTTGTGAAAGAAGCTTGGCTAGGTTTATGATCCGAGTGTGAGAGACGAACATGAACGGCAGCCTAGAACTAGGCAGAAGTTTTCATATGAAACAGATTTTCATTGCCAAATCCAGATTTTGGGACAGATGCATTTCATGAAGATACCATGGGATCATAGGAAAGTAGGCCTGGAAAGTACCTCACAAGGCCATCTAGTCCACACCCCCTACTCAACCCTGACTAAACCATGCCAGCTAATTGTCTGTCCAACCTGCTTTTGAAAATTCCCAGGGATGCAGATTCAACAACCTCTCTAGGTGACCTGTTCATAGTAGCCTCATAAGAAGAAAGTTCCTCCTTCTGTCCAATCTAAACTTCCTCTACTGCAGCTAGAGGCCACTGCTCCTAGCCCTGTCTCATACAACCAAGGGAGGATTGGGGGGTGGGGTGCGGGGATGCACTTGCACACCATTTTGATTCCTGCTTGACCCAAAGTTGAAAATCAACTTCCTAGCAGTGGCAGCAACATATCTAGTCAGATGGTGCCGAGGAAGTCAATTGACTCCGTGGCTCATTATCTGTCTGATTATAAAAATGGAGAAAAATGAGGATTTGCCTCTTTAATAGAGAAAAACGCACAATTCTCATTTTAACAGAGAAACACAGATTTTGGCACTTTTGCAAAAAGCTCTCTACAGGCTGGCAGAGTTCCAGCCTGCAAAGGGCTGAGGGGAGCAGGAGGAAGGCAGTCAGGCAGGGGGTGCCATGTGCATGTATATGTATGCGGCTGCCAGGCAGCCTGGAGAGCAGCTCCCACAGAAAAGCTTGGTAGGGGCTGAGGAGGATTGAGGCCCCCATAGGGGAGGGACTAATTTGGGCAGGGCTAGGGCTGGGAATGGGATTGCTGCCTAGTCAGGTGGTCCGTGTGGCTTGGGGCCCCAGGCTGGAATGTGCAGCTGCAGGGACCTGATGAGGACTGGAGAAGGCTGCGGGTAGCTCATCTGGAGTGGGGGCTGGGGCTGGCTCCCCGCTGCTGTGTACACTCCTGGGGGAGGGCAGAGGGGACCTGTTCCCCCCAGATCTGTGAGTGGGGTGGGGTGAGCTGCCTGCTGCAGGCTCAGGCTCCCTGCCCTGCTGCCCTCCCACAGGGCCTCCACAGCCCAGTGGATGGGACCTAGTGTGGCAGGGCAGAGTGAGCCTGGGCAAGGAAGCTAATTGCAGCTGCAAGTCCTGCATCACCCTGGTGAGGCATTCCCTGCCTGCCTGGCAGCAGCAGGGACAGTGGCACAGGGTTGTGCTCCTTGGTGCTGCAGGGTGGGCAGGAGGCACCTTGCCCGAGTGGTATTGAGCTCGAAGCAGCAAGGAGCTTCCCCACCCAGCCCCACTCTGCCCTGCTGTGCTGGGTCCCACCCAGTGGGTTGCAAAGGCCCTGGGGGAGGGCAAAAGGGTGGGGAGCACAAGCCTGCAGCAGACAGCCCGCCCCTGCCCCCACCTTGTGTGCAGATCTGGGGTCACAGGTCCCTATGCCTGCCTGGAAGTGCATGCAGCAGTGGGGAGCTGGCCCCCACAACCCAAACCTACGGCAGGCAGCCCACACCCTGCCCCCCATGGGCTCCACTCCAGCCGTGCCACACGTGAGGGAAGGGAAGCTGCACCAGCCCCACGGGCAGCAGCTGGGGCTCGGGTGCTCCTGTAGATGGCAGGGGGCTGTGGACCTATAGCCCTGGCAGCTGGGTACCCCCTCCAACAGTACTGCAAGGAATAGGGGATCCCCTAGAGTGCCTTGGGAGTGAGAGGGGCCTGGACCTGAATTCTGAGAGATAAGGCGGCAGGGAGAGCTCTGATTTTCCATGGTAAAAAACCCAGAATCAAATACCAAAATGTATAGGTATTTAGAATTTATTTTATTATAGTTACTGAGGCACTGGTAGGCTTCCAAACTGCCTTAAAATGTAAATATATCAATAAAACATTGTGTTCAATTGATACCTATATATACACACCTATGTACGTATAGGTACACAGGTATATACATACAGGTGTGTTGCATCTTACGCAGGGGTTAGGTTCTGAAGTCAGTGTGTAAGGCGAAAATCGTGTATAGTCAAAAATCCCTTAAATCACCCATACTGGGGGATCATCAGGGCTTGATGTCGATCCAGGAGACAATGGACCAGGCTTGGGTGATGGACAGCAAGTAGAGGCTAAGAGCCTTTTCTCGCAACGTGTTGCCATCAATAGGCATACGTTTACAGTTCATGTCTTCCAGCCATAAGTTTAATGCCTTTTCAGTCTTCACTAAAGTCTTATCATGCACTTGGCTCATCACCTTAGCAGTTACTGGAGCACTTGATGCCACGGCTTGAAGAATTTCTCTCTCTCGAATCTTGATGGCATGGATGCTAGATTCATTGCGGCCATATTTACGCGCCGCGTTGGAGACTGACATACCGTCTCTCAATAAGTCCAACACAACCAGTTTTTCCGCCAGCGTTGGAACGGATCGCTGTTTCTTCGGTTGAGCCCCAGATAGTTTCATAGTTTCATAGTTTTAGGGTCGGAAGGGACCTAATAGATCTTCTAGCCCGACCCCCCGCCAGGGCGGGAGAACAACAAAAAACCCTAAAAACAAAAACGGGACTCAAATGAGTCCAGCCAGGTAGGCATCCAGCCTCTTCTTAAAGACCCCCAGGGTAGGGGCCAGCACCACCTCCCTTGGAAGTTGGTTCCAGCTCCTAGCCGCCCTAACTGTGAAGTAGTTTTTTCGGATGTCCAATCTGTACCTCCTCTCCATCAACTTGTGCCCATTACTCCTTGTTATGCCAGCGGGGGCTAGGGGAAACAGCATCTCCCCCAAACCCTTCTGGTTCCCCCTAGTGAGTTTATAGACGGTCACCAGGTCCCCCCTCAGCCTTCTCTTGTGGAGGCTGAATAGGTTCAAGTCCCGCAGTCTCTCACTGTAGGGTCTGCCCTGTTGTCCCCGGATCATGCGGGTGGCCCTCCTCTGGACCCTCTCCATGTTGTCCACATCCCTCCTGAAATGGGGCGCACAGAACTGGACACAATACTCCAGCTGCGGCCTGACCAGTGTCGCATAGAGGGGGAGGATCACCTCCCTGGCTCTACTCGAGATGCACCTGTGGATGCACGACAAGGTCCGGTTAGCCCTGCCAACCATGACCTCGCATTGTCGGCCCATGTTCATCTTGGAGTCAATAATGACACCAAGATCCCTTTCCGCCTCCGTGCTCTCAAGTAGGGAGTTCCCCATCGTATAAGTGTGCTGCTGGTTCCTACTACCCAAGTGCAGCACCCTGCACTTGTCCGTATTGAAACACATCCTGTTCCTGTTTGCCCACCCCTGTAACCTATCCAGATCCTTCTGCAATCTCTCTCTCCCTGCTAGCGTGCTCACCTCCCCCCAAATTTTGGTGTCATCAGCGAATTTAAACAGGTTGCTTTCCACCCCAACATCAAGATCGCTGATGAAGAAATTGAACAGCGCAGGCCCCAGGACCGAGCCCTGGGGGACTCCACTACCCACCTCCCCCCAAGTCGAGTATGATCCATCCACCACCACCCTCTGAGTGCGACCCTTCAGCCAATCTGCAATCCATCTGACTGTGTAGGCATCTATGCCACAGTCGCCTAGTTTATTAATTAGGATGGGGTGAGAGACGGTGTCAAAGGCCTTGCTGAAGTCCAGAAAGACTACATCCACCGCGACACCTGCATCCATGGCCTTTGTGACCTGATCATAAAAGGCAATCAGGTTGGTCTGACATGATCTCCCCCTAATAAATCCATGCTGATTGCCCCTGAGCATCATCTCGGATGCCGGCCCATCACAAATGTGCTCCTTGATGATCTTCTCAAAGAGCTTCCCCAGGATTGAGGTAAGACTGACGGGCCTATAATTGCCCGGGTCCTCCCTTTTCCCTTTTTTGAAGATGGGGACCACATTAGCTACCTTCCAATCGTCTGGCACCTGGCCCAAGCACCACGATCGCTCGTAGAGCCGTGCCAGGGGCCCTGCAATAACCCCAGCCAGCTCCCTCAGCACCCTGGGGTGGAGAGCATCCGGACCCGCTGACTTGAACGCGTCCAGCCCCTCCAGAAGCTCTCTAACCCGGTCCTCCCCAACCTGAGGTCTGAAGGCGATCCCCTCGCGTCCGGCTTCTATCACAGCAGGGAAGTCCCGGTCCCTGCACAAGAAAACGGAGGTGAAGAATTGGTTAAAGAGGTCCGCTTTATCCTCTGACGCAACCACCAGATTGCCCCGCATATCCTGCAGGGGCCCCACATTACCCGGCGCCTTCTTCATCCTCCCAATATATTTGAAAAA